GGAAACAAAGCGAGTGCCACGAACCGGATCAAAACAACAGTATCCCTTTTGTGTGGAGGCATATCCCAAAAAGACACACTTGTGTGCTTTAGGCTCAAACTTATGTTTTTGATGATTGTGAACAAGAACATGGCAAATGCACTCAAACACTCTGAGAGGAAGAGAGAAGAGATCCTCATTTGGGAAAAGCAAGCTAAAGGGAGTTTTAAACCCCAAAACCCGGTAAGGCATTCAGTTTATCAAGTATGTAGCTGTAAGGACAACATCCCCCCAAAACTTAACAGGAACATGGGAAGCAAAAAGGAGGCTCTTTGCAACCTCAACCACATGTCTGTTCTTCCTTTCCGCCACTCCATTTTGTTGAGGAGCGTAGGAACAGGAACTTTGATGAATAACTCCGAAGGTATCAAAGTAGGATGACTCTTCTCAAAATATTCCTTTGCATTCAGATTAGAATATTTGGATCCGAGTGTTAAACTAGGTAAGTATAAGTTCATGAAATTTTTGTACAATATTTGGTACTTCATCCTGTGATTTCATGAGGTAAATCTAGGTGTAATGAGAGAAATCATCAATGAAAAGAATGAAATATTTGTAACCCTCCCATAGCAGGTAAATGATATGGCCCCCACACATCAGAGTGCACAATATGGAAAGGAGAAACAAATCTTTTATTACTCATTGAAAAAGATTGTCTACAATGTTTTGCAAGTTCACATGACTCACAATGAAGACTCAATAGGGATATTCCCCTAAACATTTCTAGAAACAAATGACTCAAAGCAGAAAAAGACAAATGACCAAATCTGAAATGACATATCATGACTCTATCAACTGACTCATAAAATGGACTCCAAAGCTACTGCACTAAGTAATCCAAAACTTTGATCAGAGACATCCAACAAGTATATCCCATTCGCCTCATGGCCACTCCCAATCGTCCGCTGAGACTTCAGGTCCTGAAAAACACAATAAGTAGGAAAGAAGGTTATGCTGCAGTTCATTGATTTTGTTAAACTACTAATAGATAAAAGGTTAGTGCTAAGTTTGGCATGAAGGACAGAGGATAATACAAGTGAGTCAGAGGCTCTAACATCCCCCTTGCTAGAGATGGGAGCAAGAGACCCATCGGCAAGAGAAATCTTCTCTCTACCCGAGAGGAGCTGGTATGAACAAAAAAGGTTGGGTAAGCTAGTCATATGGTCTAATGCACCAGGATCTATAATCCAAGGAATTCTACGATTACTTGAGGCTGTAGCATGATTTACAGAAGCACGAATACCTGAACGCAATGTTCAAAATATCGATACGCCCGATACGCGATCGATACACATTTTGGAGCCTTTTTTTTTATTTTTTTTCCGCAACCGGTTCAGGGGGGCCGATTTAGGTCTCCTCTACCCCCTGAACCGGTCAGACCTCCGATACACCCACTATAGGGGCGTATCGGAGGGGTCCCGGAATGGTATCGGCCGATACGTGTCGATACTTTGAACCTTGCCTGAATGGGCAAAGGCGGATGTAGAGGGGGTGCCTGAGGTGGAAGATGCAATAGTAGACTCCAAGTGATGTATCAACTTCCCATTTCTCTCAAATTCTGCCTTCACTGCTGCCAGTTATTCCACAACTGATACTGTAACATTTGCATTCTTGGTCTTTCCAGATTGACACCCTTCTTAAAATTGTTGTTGTTCTAAAACCTTTCTGGAAGAAGATCTGGATGAAGTTTCCAACAAGAATCCTTCRTATGTTTCGGCTTCTTGCAATATTCACATATCACCTTTTTTTCATTTACCCCCTTTGGTTTTAATCCAGCATGTGCAAAATGTTCTAGTGGAGGTGGGGTCTGTAGCTGTACCTGTCTCCTGCTCTCTTCACTGCTCACCATAGAGTATGCCTGAGCAAGTGACACTTCATCCTTGGCCAGAATATTTTGCCTTGTAATATCAAATTCAGGATCGAGTCCTATAAAGAGTTCAAACACTGTTGGTGCTTTCCCATACAAATGCTTCCATAACATTTATCTCCTGCCATAGTGACTTCAACATCGAATAGTAGACAATCACACTCTTCTCCCCCTGTTTTAAATTTTTCACATCATTCTTCAGTTTGTAGGTCCTTGCAACGTTTAATTTTTGAGAGTATGTTTCTGTAACACTATCCCAACTCTCCTTGGCTGAAGTCATCCACAAATAGTGTTGACTTATGTGGGGTTGCATAGAATTTACCAACCACCCAATAACTGCGTAGTTATCCTACATCCATTTCTCATATGTAGGATCAGTCTCTTCTGGCATCACCTTACTACCCGTGAGAAACCCCAGTTTACCTCTACTATAGACATGGATCTTAATGGATTGTTCCCAAGCAAGGTAATTTGTTCCGTCAAGTTTAATTGTTGTCACTCTTGTCAAAATGGAATCTATGGGACCAACCCCCGATACCGGGATCTGCTTCATCTCACTTCCAGATTGCTCCATCAATCAAACGAAAATAAAAAAACAATGTTTTCAACCTTTATAGACCTAACTAAGGTCAATCAAACACTCAAAAGTCCCAAAACTAGGGTTTCACCGTACCTGGCCTCCGGGGAGAAAGAGAGGAGGTAGCCACTCAAACCAGAGCGATCAAAACCACTTCCAACTACAGCCACCCACTTTTGGAGATAAAAAAAGAACCCTCCAAGCCTTGAGTGCCACACCCAAACAGCCTCTTCAACCCGTAACTGGAAATAGTCTAGTCGGCTAGGGTTTTGGGAAAAAAAATTGCAGTCCCACTTTCTTGGCAATCTTCGGCCAGCTTCTGACTCTCCAAACCCTCTACCAACTAGGCAAACAAGATCTCTGATTGATCAGCAATTTATCTCTCCATACACCTTTCGATTAGAAAAAGGTGTATGGGAAAAAAAGGAAAAAAAAAGGAGAAAGCGAAGGAGGACCTGCTCTGATACCAAGATGTGATTCAGACCAATAAAATTAGCAGAAATATTTAGATTAGAGCAGAAAGAGGGAAGGAAGAAGAGGAAGACAGCAAGAAGGAAAAATGGAGAAGAAAGGAGTTCGATAATCTCCTCTTTTCCCTACTCTAATCGTTTTATTAAACTTATTTAAGTTACATAATTTACAATAAGTAGGTGTCCACATCAGCAATACACTTAAAAAATAAAACAGAAGCTAAAGGCCCATAAAGAAAGAAGGCCCAATAAGAAAACATAACAAGAAGGAACTGATAAGAATGACACTAAAGGACTAGGGCCCATTTGACCCAGTCTCTACAAGAAAGTGTGCGGAAAATGGGGTTTCTACATGGTTAGTTATTATATACAAGGGCCATTACCCAATATTGGTCCCAACTATCCTGGGTCTTGGTAACCACCATCATTTTCTTGCATGAAGTGGTGGTCACTTCCAGAACTGAACCCATGTTCTATGCTGCAGCCGAAGATTTTACCACTGCATTAACTACCAAGCAATGATGACCTTTTAAGTATTTTATATCATAAACATATTTATCATGCTATGCTTTTTAAAATGAACCCTTGATGGATGGGAACAGATAATATTATCTCTATGGAATATAATATTTCATAAGTGTATTTTTATCTGGAAGGATACTATTTTATCATGTATGCCCAATTTGGATGAGCTTCAAACCCAACTTAAATTTCTACTTAAGGGCATCCCAAAAGTGAACAAATTCTCTATTATTTTTCTGTAGTAGATTTGTTTTCTGAAGGCTATCTGTTATTATTATCAATTTATGATCATGCACTTCTCTATGATCTCATCTCTCTTGCACACAATCCTTRATGCAGCCAATCTCCCACCCAACACCTAGGTGGTGGCTTGTCAATGCACGTCCTTGCCTAGGTAACATATGGGATCATCCACACAGTTCCTCTTT